TCTTCATTTTCTTTTCCGTTGTTGTTCTTTGTGTCGTTAAGGACAGTGACCAGAGTATGTATATTCAATATTGTACAAGTAAACTGGTCCCATTTCTAATGTTTCTCTACTAAATGTAAGACATTTCAAGCTTTTGCCTGAGATCTTTCTCTAGGCCAATGACTGATTTAGTCACTCAAGCGGAACAAAAAAAAATGCAGGCTCTAATGGATAATTTTTTCCATTCTTACAAAGTTTTCAACCTTTCTATTAGCCTGAACAAGACAGTTGTCATGTTTCAACCTACTCCAGGTTCACTTTACATCAAACCAACAATATTTGTGGATGGCCACAAACTGAAATTGGTAGACAAATTCACATATGTTGGGAGCGTTATAAGTAGACACTGTACTCTTGATGATAAAATGTCTGCTTGTGTGAAGAAAGCAACTGATGCTTTTGCAGTTGTAAAAGATTAAGTCTGGACTAAAAGAGGACTTCAGTGCACAAAGATGGCAGTCTACAATGCCTGTGTGCTGACCTGCCTGCTGTACTCCTGACAGACATGTTTGTGTACCACAGACACTTACACACTCTGGAGAGATTTCACCAACAATGTTTAAGATCAATTCTTGGTATTCACTGGATACCCAACATGTCAGACATTGTGGTCCTCAAAAAGGCCAATGCAATCAGAATTGAATGCACATTCATCACCATAGTCTTCACTGGTAAGACCATGTCATTTGCCATGATGGCAGCAATATACCCAAATAAATGCTCTATGGCAGCATAGACCAAGGAAGTGCTTCAAGGACTGTTTAAAAGAGTCTTGCAGCCTGCAATATAGTTGATTCATGAAGGCATTAAATTCTTTCAAGAACATGCATTGAGTTGGACAAATATCAAGCAGGGAGCTGGGAAAAGGAAAATCATTGATCCAACAATTTATCAATTCACATGTGATGAATGTGGCAGAGTATTAACCACAAGAAGAGTCATATTGGTAGATCTTTCACAAATTATGGTCACTACTATACTGGAAATAACTTAACATGAAAGTTGTCAGAAAACCTGCAGAAAACACTCTGATCTCACCAGTTACACGAAAACCTGAAAAACAACTTTGTTTGCCATGTCTGCAAAAAGCATTACAAGTCTCTTACGGGCTTGAAGAGCCATTGTCGTTCACATGAAAATTAAAATATTGTCAGCGATGGTATTACTTGTTTCATGAGTCAACAGTCATCACACACACACAATCAATTTTAAAAAGTTATAAACCTTTGTATAACACCCAGGTATTGAAATGTCACTACATAAAATCAAAAAACAACCAACCCATTTTAATAATGCTTGTTAATGTAAATTTTTTAAAAGTCAGATAACTGTTTTTTATTAAGTTTTGATCAATAAAAGATTAGTTCTTTGTGTGTGGATACTTGGCATTAGTGAACCAAATATCTGAAAAGAAATGTTTATAAATGGTTTTGAAGAAATTTAATATCATTACTGATCAGATTGTGCAACAGCTTGCTTAAATACTGCATTATGTCATGATCTTAATAGGAAATGTGAATTTATTCTCAAGATGTCTATTTTTATTCTTTAACATATTAAAGTTAAAAATCGGATTTAGCTATTTAATGTTAAAAGAAAAATATCAGCACTTCCCTTGTAGAAAAAATACATAATACTTTTTTTGAACAGGAGTAGAGGTTTATCCCTGGTTTCCTGTTTAAGATTGGGTTTTTGATTCCTTCTAAATTTTTTCTTTCATTTTCTTTCATTCTTTTGTATCTTGATGGTATTATCACCTTGCTTGGGGTGAATTGATTAAAAAAATAATGAATAAATATAAATAAATATACTGTTTTATGTTGGAAAATGGGCAAAATCAAAATCCCATGTATAAGCCGAAGCAGCTAATCAACACATTATTTTCAGATAGCGTGGCTTTGTAAATTTCCACAAGTGGAGTATATTTTTATGAAGTTTTAATATTTTGTTATCTTAAATGTTTTAGGCATCACTTACAGTATAGTTTTTTCTCATAACTCTATTATACAACGTATTTTTATAATTTTATCTGTTTTATAAATTTTCAACAAATTTCTTGAATTTTTGTTTACTTAATTTTAGTAAACAACAATAGCACCATCTTCTGAATGTAATAGGATTTTATTTAACATCAAAATTGAATGCAACTCATGCCTCAAAAAAACATTGAAACCATTTAACATTCTACAAGTAGACCCATTTTTGCAGAGTTATTAAAACTTTATACAATGAACTTGATACACATATATTATACAAAAGAAAAATAAAAGCTTGTGCAAAAAATAACTTTAATATATAAAGTTCACAGGAAAGGAATGAAAACAGAGACTAGGTATTAAAATTATTCTGTAAAATTTGGCACTTTTTGACATAGATGTTGAAATTGATGAAAATAAGGCTCCCCCACTTTTATCTACCTTTTTTTTTTTTTTTTTTTTTTGTTTTGTTTTGTTTTTATGTGTGTCACATATCTCTCAGCTTATATATCTCAGAAGATTCACCAGGGTGTTACTGTTGGCACTGCACCCAGTCCTACAACTAGACTTGTAATATTGCTAATTGGACTCTGGAGGACTGGCAAAATGTACCCTGGTCTGATGACTTATAGTTCCAGTTGTTTTGTGTAGCAGAGACCCCATGAGGCCACAAACCCCAGTTGCAGGTGTGTCCATGTGGGTAACAGGTTGGACCTATTGGTCTGCCTAAACATATCATTAACTGGTGACTAATTTGCACTGCTTTGTAACCAGTTCCAACCATTTATGGGCTCCATGTACCTGAACTACAATGGGTTATTCCATCAGGATAATGCACCATGTCATCATTTGCTAAGAATTGGTTTGAAGAGTATCCTGAAGACTTCCAATGGACTATATGGTCACTACATTTGCCCAACATGAGCCCATTCAGACCTGGTGGTGAGGTCTGGTAAGGCTAGAGTATAACCATGTATCTTAGCTAAGTAGATGGCCCAATAAAATTATTCAAAGGGCTATTTCTTCAATCTTATTACAATTTATATTTCTTTTCCTCTTCTTTGTTATATAAAAATGCTCTAATGGAAAGAATAATAACAAATAAAATCCTGAAATTTAGATAATTGCTATATGTGTGCATCAATTATATGGAAATGCAAAAGGAGGGATGTAATCTATTCAGTGTTTTATGTTGACCTCATAAAGGTACCCATCAATATAAATCATTAAGTGTGGTTCAGTGAAAGCAAAGCATGTAATCAGATCATGTGAAATTGAGTATATGTGTGATTAAGTGTTTTTGACTATGAATGCATATAAAAATATGACTGGTCACATCAATGATTTAGATTGACAGCCAGAGGGAGCAGTGCAAGGTTGATAGCAAAGTCAGCAGTTATATAAACATCAAATTTCACTTGAGTCCCACCATCTGTCCTCTGGTCAGATTTGAGTGAAGAAGAGACTTCATTCCTTCTTCAACTTCTCATTGTCTTTTCAATGAAAACTTTGAACAAAGTAAGAACTCAAAGACCAAAAACTAAAAAACAAAAAGTTGTAATTTTGACATGATGATCACTTACCAGTCTATGAAAAAGAAAGTAATCTCTAACTTGATATTTTAGAATATATCTGAAACTGATATATCTTGTAATTTCTTTTTTAATGATATTTATGAATGTTTACATTTGAAGCCAGGGAATTTTTATATATCTTATACTGAATTCTAATCCAGTAGAAAGCAATAAATATTTCTTTAATAGCAATTATAAATGAAGTTTATTTGTCTATTGGAAGAAATACTATACTTTAGAATATAATTTACATGAAACTATTACACATTGGCAAAATTTACATTTATTGCATATAAATTTTTTTCTCTATTTAATGTACTACTACTACTACTAATAATAATAATGTACTGCTAATAATAAAAATTTTCATTTTATTTTGAAATGGTTTTAATTTTTTAAATTAACAGAGAACTATAACTAAATATTGATGAGATTTTTCCCTCTTTTGCTGCATGTATAAATTTGTATAATTACTGATTTTTTTACACACATATTACACTAATCCAGTGTAATTTTATGATATAGAAATGCTAATACCAAGAGACATATAAAAATTGTTTTAGTCATATAAAAATTTTTAAATTAATTTAATAATTAATATTATTATCTTTTACTTCTCTGTTTATATAAGGGAAGTGTTTTAAGTTGATATCAAATAGCAATAAAGAGTCTATTTAATTAAATAAATTACTGATTGATTTATAGGAAAATATTAAATTTGCTGATATATTGTTTATAATTTATATCTTAAACTGGGCATTTTTTCAAACTAAGTAATGTAAATAACTCCAGAGAATGTATTGTTAATGAACTAGTAGAGAGAAATTTGAAGAACATGATCAAAATGTTATAATGAACAAAGAAACTTCAGAAATGTTTAAAATAGCTTATATCAAAACTATTAGGTTGAGTCATAATATAACATTTGGTTTCCAGAAATGGAAATCACTTATGGCTCAACCAAAAATTAAAGAAAAAAATACATTTGCTGAAGATAATTTTTCTTAACATAAAATGAAAATCCCTTTTTTTTACTCTCTCTCTCTCTCTCTCTCTCTCTCTCTCTCTCTATATATATATATATATATATATATATATATATATATATATATATATATATATATATATTAATCTTTTATAATCAAAATCATAAATTTTGAAAGTACACTATAGATAAATTCATTTATAAGAAGAAGCATTGAAAGTTCTCACGTTGACTAAGAGATTTAAAAAAAAAAAAACATTCTGATGTTTGGTCAAATTTTGGAAAGTGGCTTGAATGAAGAATTTTTCAACCTCTCTAATGAATCACAGATCAGCTAGAAACCAAACTAGTTGGTAAATAATTTCAATTGAAATAGCTCAATCCTTTCTGGTGTTTGGTTGAAATATATTTTTCTTTCTTTTTCAGAATATTTGGAACCTCGTTTGCTCAACAGGCACACTAGATTCTTACCTGTGCTCCAGTTTTACTTTTCTTTAAATTCTGTCAACATGTACAACGTTGTATTTGTTCTTGGAGGACCTGGTGCTGGTAAAGGTACACAGTGTGTCAAAATTGTTGAGGTCAGTATCTATTAGGATTTATGAGAAAGTATTTTCACTTTTTACAGACTTTTACTCTAGATTTTATACATACACATTTAACCTTTAGCATTCTACATTATTAATATTACTTCTCTTTCCACTGCATTCTTTTTCAAAGCCTCTCAATTGCAGTATCCTTATTGTTAATTTAACTCAAAGTTCTTTTCTGTTCTCATAGCAGGATATGACAACACAATTATGAAATTTAAACTATTTTTCAGGGATAAGTCATTTTTAGTGGTAGAATAAACTTTTTGTACAGCAAATGAAGTTACATACAGGATCATAAAGTTTAAAAATAACAACTCCATTATATTAATATTGTTATTTTATATGAGATTGTATTGAAAATATTTTAATTTTTAAAAACATTTACTCTCAGGCTTATTCTATGTGCCATAATTATTTATATATACACTTAACTTTGGGTTATAAAATTATTGGGAAAACACCTCCCATATATAATGTTTTTTTTTATAATTTTTAGCAGCTAAGTTTAACCTTTTATCTGGTTTGTATTAATTAAGAATAAGAATTTTTATATTTTACATTTTTATTACTTCAGACATTAATATTGTGGATGCTTCCTATTTGAAATAGATGACCCCTTTTTACTTATTAAACAGTGTGTATTATGTCTATTGGTTTGCACATTTGAGAAATCTTAGTTCCCTGGCCACTATAAAAATGTTTGAAAAGATGTCAGATTAAAAATAAATCCATTAATTCTTTACAAATAGTTTACATTACATTTTGGAACACAAAATTTAAACAATATTTAGTGCAAATGTGCAGGCATGTTCACATAAAAATGCAACAAGCATACACTTTCACCTCCCGCAGCAAGGTTTATTTACAAGATTATAAAAATATGTCAACCAAGTACAATGTGATATTTATTATTCATCTTTTATAAAGATTTCTTATTTACCATTTTATAAAGAAATAAATATGAAAAATATCTTTATTCAAAAATTTATAAGAGATTACAAAATTATCAAAATATCTAAGTGGAAGAGATGCTCTTAACCTATTTTAGTGAATTTATATGGCAATGGCAAATAAAAGAAATACTTGGAAAATGCATTTTTTCAGAATTTATAATTACAGTTACTCAATGTTATGTGTTTAAGTTTTCTTGTTCACAAACATTTTATAAATTTATGAATAAAAAATTGTATTTCTTTATAAATTGGTAAATAATAAATATTTTGTTATAGTTAAATATAAGATTATTCTTGTAAATAAGCAGTCTAATAAATAAATAGTGTTTAATATCTTTAACATTCTCAAGAATAAAGAAAATGTATAAATTCACTTTCATATATTTGGATTTTATTAAAATTCTAATCATCACTTTTTAAAACAATAAACATTACCAAGAGAGTCAAAAAGGGTATAAAGTAATAGCAGTGTCAAGGGAATAGCTGTCCTCTTGACACATTGTTTTTTTGCTGGTACAAAGGTTAAACATTGTCAAATAATATTCCTTCATGCTTTTTTTTTTTTTTTTACTCTGGTGCTGCATATTTATGACCTTGTGCCAGACTATGGTTGAATAATACCAAAAACTTGGCTGCAAGTTCTTTGTTATTATTATTGCCTACATTTGCAGGATGATTAGGAAGTACATTTTGCAGCCCAATTCACTGGCTAACTCACAACAGTGAACTTGTACTCAGCTAGCCTAAGCTTATTAAATAACTATTTGGCTCTGAGGTGTGTTTTTTCACAATCAGACACTTAAAATAAATAAAAAATTATAGACAGCTTCTTTAATTTTGTATCATCAGCATTAGTCTTCAAATTTTATTTCAGAAATATGGTTATGTTCATTTATCAGCTGGAGATCTTCTTCGAGCAGAGCGAGCAAATTCCGAATCCAAATATGGTCAGTTGATTGATAAACACATTAAAGAAGGCAGCATTGTACCTGTCGCAATTACCTGTGCTCTTCTTCGACAGGTATGATTTTTGGTTTGATCTCTTTTGTAAATCTATGGTTTGTGTATGTGTTTTATATAATCTGTAACTATATTAAAAATAATTTTCAGGGATAAGTCATCTTCAGTGGTAGGATAAACTTTTTTGTACAGCAAATGAAATTACATACAGGATATCAGAATATATGTTATACAAGGGTTAACTTGTGCATGTTGCTCACAAATTTCAGTTACTATAAAAGTTGTAAAATTTATAAAATGTATTTAATCTGGAATAATTTAAGAAATCTGAATCAAAATTATCGTAATGAAATGTCAACTACGTTTTTTTAAATATATGGTAGTTTGCATGTTTTTAATATTAATGAAAGATATAAAGAATCATTTTAATGATAGATAATTTTGTTTTTGTAGGCAATGGAGAAGAGTGGTAAGACTAATTTCCTTATTGATGGTTTTCCAAGAAACAAGGATAATCTGGATGGATGGAATCAAGAAATGAATGATGTTGCCAATGTGAAAATGGTACTCTTTTTTAATTGCAGTGAAGAAGTAAGTTTAGCTTTTTTCTCTTTTTTTTTCCTCTCCCTCTCTTTCTTTCTGTGTGTGTGTGTGTGTGTGTGTGTGTGTGTGTGTGTGCACGCACGCACACTTGGGAATACAAGAAAAAGGACAATCTTCCTTTTACTCTAATAGCAAAAAAATCATGAAAAAAAGCAATGAGTAACCATTCCATTACCTTTCCCAAGACCAATCATAGCAATGCACAATTTAAAGATATGAAATAAAGGAAGCTGTGGAGAGCTATGATCGCCCATGTCTTAAAGGAACATGACACTTGATTCCATTTAGGCAGGTAATGGAGATTCTATTTTAGGCAAGTATTTTGTGTATGTTGCTGATTAAAGCTTTTCAAATTTAAAATATTTAAAAATTATTCTTGGCTAATATTTTCTTTCTTTTTATAGTTATTTCTAACAGCAGCTTGCAACATTTTTATTTTTAGGTATGTGTTAACCGTTGTCTTGAACGTGGAAAAACCAGTGGCAGAACAGATGACAATACTGAAAGTTTGAAGAAAAGGTAAGTCAACAGAGTTTTATTTTTATAAACATTTTCCAAACATTTTAAATAAAAAATATGTGCATTACATGGTTTGGCTGAAATCAAAATTGAACTTTATATCATAGTTTTATTGAAATACATAATTTGTCTGAAATATATGAAAAGAGAAATTTAAGTGGAAAGAAAAAATAACAGTTCAGCAGGAATGTTTTATTTCTTGTTTAACTTGCGTCCTGCCAGATTATCTTCAGAAGTAAACAATACTGAACAATTGCTAAGTTTTTAAACACAAAGAATATTTTTTAGTATTATGTAACAAATAATCCTGAAAAACAAATCCAGGAGATGACAAGCTTTTGACTGATTTCATAACAAGAAGGATCCTCAAGATTAGATGGCAAGACCGTGTAAAGATGACAGCACTACTCCAGCATGCTTCCATAGAATCTCTTTGTGTTAAGGTAGAGCAAAGAAGATGGAAGTTCATCAGCCATAGAAAGGCATGAATACATTTCTACTTCCTCCATCTATGGGCTAAATAGCAGAGGAGACTGGGTTCTCTAGACTTGAGTAGCAACCAGCCTAGGAGAAGGAAAACTCTGAATTCAAAACCAGCCTGAAGAAGGATGGTTTTCATTATGCTATTTTGCCCTAAAAACACTTACTATTGCTATAGCTGTAGTACACATGGTTCACCTACAACCTTGATGGGTTACAGGATTTGTGATCATATTTGTTGTAAATACTGCAGTAAAATGAAATAATATTCACTGACCTAAACAAGAAAGACAAAACAGAATCATCTCGAGAGAGACAAGATAATTTTCATCATTATCAGTCCCATGACCTGCTAGGGTTGCTGCACAGCTGAGTACCTGACCAGTTCCCTCCATATATCTGGGTTGAAAGCAGGGAAATATCCATTCATGCATAATGCATAGTGTACCATGAAGATGTATACCTAACAGAACCCATCTCTCTCCAGGTCAAACTATAGCTGATGTCCTCCAACTTGTAGGCTCATATTAGTCAGACATGTGGCCACTGATTCCATATAAATACATGATAAGATATCTACTGATATGTTATATAATGTTTTTAATTAAAATAAATGAACTTCATCTTTATTTTTGCTCTTTAATAAAATATTAATTTTCATCTGGGCAAAATTTTTAACCCTTTTGTTTCTATACATTTTATTTCTAAAGAATGAATGAATTATTTTTTATCTTGCTAAATAAATGGGTGCTTACTACCTAATACTGACATCCCTCAATTAATGCATTTTTGATTGGTGTGCTAAAATCTTTATATATTAAAATTCAATTAGTGCATTCATAATACTCAATTAGTGTAGTAAAACATTCTTCAATTTAACCATAGTAATTGAAAATTGATCTTTTTATAGTTATCAATGTAGACATTAGCTGCACTAATCGAGGGATTCCTGTATACTTAATGCAATTTATACTGATGTAAATTTTATTATTTTTGAATTTTAAAAGAATTGTATATTGAAACGTCCTTTTGGATATTTTAAGGAGTGAGGACTTCAAGCTTATTTGTAAAAGTCATTCAGGAAAGAAAACATCTAGAATAAAGAGATTTTTCCCAATAAGTCACAAACAACTATTAATTTTAAGTCAATATTTATTAAACAGTCACTTGTATTTCATGAAAGGTCAATAAATTCATTAATCCAGTTGTCGCATTGATTTCTTGATGTGTAATTTTAACAAACTGTTGAAAGGAAAAGTTCTACTATTAACAAGAACCTTTGTTGAATTATTGCACACAAAATTAATTTTGAATTATAATTTTCACAAAGCAGAACAAAACTTTTAATAATTATTCATAAAGAAAACATCTTAATGAAATAAAATAATGATTAATGCCCTTTTATTTTTCTGTTTAAATAAAAATAGGTAATGTTTCTTTTTATTTATGACAAACTTTATTGAATAATATATTTACTATCTTCTGCCATCTTTCAGATAGATTCATAATTCCACCTTCCCAGAGCTTTGTTTCTTAGCAAAGGAACCTTTTGTAGACTATTTTTTAAATCATTTCACCCCAAGCAAGGTGATAAATCCTATAAGACACAAGGTGTTTCTGAGAGTGAAAGAGTTTGAGAATAAACATAATTAAGGAGAGAGGACAGAACAAGAATTAAGGAGACAGATGATAATGATTGACATTGCATTTAAATTTTTGAAGATCAAAGTTGATTGGAAAGAAAGTTTGTAGCAATTGCAACTGTAAAATGAGACCTTGCTGTCGCTCTAGTATTGTGCTTAAATTCATAAAGTGTTGTAGTAAAGAAAAGACTGTCAACTTATAGTAGCAACTGCAATAGATTGCTGCTGAATGTAGTTTATCGTCTTACTCAGGACATGGATATAGTTTAACATATTACCCCAGACGGAAAAAGTACAGGAAAACTATGTTATGGTGAGAAAGTATCTGAAAAGGAGATGTCAGGTCCAATAACATTGCAGATTCTTCTTTGGATTTTATCAAGAATCTCTAAACACATAGCAGGAGTAGCACACCAGATGTGACAGCAATATTCAATGCATGGACAAATGGTAGACTTATAAAGGTTTAAGATAGATTCTGATGAGAAAAATTGTCTAACAGTGAAACAACTTTCCTAGTAGTAAACCTAGCAATTGATTCAATATCATCATTCCACTTCATATCTGTGGAAAACATTAGCCTGAGAAGGCATCATGATTAAATCTGGAGGTTAGCATCAGCTATACAGAAGGCAAAAAAGATGATTAAAAGAGAGCAGTTTTGTTTTGGAGGCATTAAAATTAATAAGCCATTTCTTGCCTCAATTAACAAATTGAAGGCAATTATTATTAGATCAGCTGCCAACTTAACTTTATCAGCCCTATCAGACTTACCATTAAGACAGGAATAGATAGTTGTCATCATCTTAGATACCAATTCAAGAACTGATGATATCAGGAAGGTCATTGATGAAAATTAGAAACAAAGTAAGTTCAAGCTTAGAGACCTGGAGTTCACCTGCAATAACATAAAAAAAAATCTAGAAGAGTGGCCATTCAAGATAACTTCATTTCACAATTTGATAAGAAATATTGAATCAAATAAAATTTCAGACAAACCTACCATAACCCTTCTACTTATAAAGATCAGCATGTTTTTTTTGTGTGTAACTCAATACAATTTATTGAATTTGTCTATAGTACATTGACATCAGTTTCTCTTTGACTGCTAATGTTAAGAAACAATATGAAAAAGGGTGATAATGAAAATTTTAGAACTTTTAATCACTGCTTCAAACCTCAAATATAAGAATTAAGAATACTCAAGATTTTAAATCTTTTTAAAAGATTTATTGAATTCTTTGTACTTATTTTATAAAGAAAAATGTAGTTGCAGTTTTCTTATATTTTTATTTACAACACCTTCCTAAATTGGGGCTTTATGAATTGAGAAATTGTAATCTAAAGATTTGTGGTTCAATTTATATAAAATTAGATTTTACATAAAAATTAGGAATATTCTATTCAGTTTTTTTTTTTTTTTTCATTGCAGAATTGTAACTTTTAATAATTCAACTAAACCTATAATTGAACATTATCAAGCACTGAAACTTGTCCAAGAAATTCCTGCCGAAAAAAATCCAACTGAAGTAAGTTAAATCTGTTTCAATTCACAACTACATTTAGCTCAAATAATTTTATGTCTTTTTTTTTTTTAGTCTGCCTTTTATTAGTGTAAACATACAACAGGGCACTCCTCATCCAGCCCTCCACCAATCAACCAGTGATCACTACATGTGTCACTCTACTTTCATTCACATCAAAAACTGGGAAAAGCCTGCTGCATGCTCACAAGGAAACAAATAAAAACAAACACCACATTGAGAAACGAGAATCCGAAAAATGTTTCCAATATATAAATCAGGTGTTTTAATTGGAGCTTTGCTTTTGCAGTCTGGGTGGGTAGATAGGTGACACCTGGGACAACTTCTGCCATGTTGAACTAATAGATCAGCTTTTCACCCCCATCCCCCCACTTCCCATTCATCCACATTTCACGGGCAGCATCAGAACTATGTAAGGGACAGTCTGTATCCTGCCACAGGTGGACAAGAACTGACTTCCTCAATTACTAACATAATTGTTAATATAGACCAGCAACCAGAAATCATCAATGTCCAGTTTTGTTGTCACTTGACCTTTTTTTTTAATTTATTTTTCTCTAAACCCCAAGTCAAAAATTTTGCTGGCCAAAAAAATAGAAACATTTTAGATATAAATAAAATCTTTCTTTTCTACATGGGTTTCCCAATTCTAGTGTCACATTAGATCAGATATTCTTTATAAGACTCAAATTTTAATCTCTCATTACATACCTTTATAAATTTCTCACCATTTTTAAAAATACTTATTACTCATGATTTTTATTATCATACTTGAGTTAGACTATTGTCATCTGTCTATCTTTCTGATTGTTTATTTAATCTTCAGTAATTTTTATTTTAATTTACCTGCATGTTTTTTGCTTAAGCAATTATTGTTTAATCTTATTTAAGTAGCAATTGTATTCTTGTTGCACTTTCTATCTTATATTTAACTCTTTAGCATTCAATACATCTAAGCCCACCCCATAAATATCAGATCTCAATGTTCAACTCATCATAACCCACAGCATGTATACTTTGCCATAATACATGACATCATCAAAAATAATGCAGGAAGTAATGCAAACTATGAGACTTTGGGAGCCAATATTTACGGAGTGGGGTTAAGCATGTTGAATACTAAAGATTTAATCTCTTATGGGCACTTAAACACACCTCCAGTTTGAAGTTTCCTTCAGATTTTAAAGTATTTTGTTATTTATTACTTCCATTATTGATTGTTTTATAATTATTAAAATCATTAAGCCTAGTACATAATTTTTGAAGCAACTTCTATATTTAATTTTTTTCATAGTGAATAAAAATACCTCTGCTAAATGAAAATCAGCTTTGACCTTTGCATTCACTATTCTACATATTCAAACCATAACAATAACTTGTATTTTTCCAGAAAGTGCATATTTTAAATTATCATTATAAGTTATAAAAAGAAAGAAATGCTCAAATGTGTCTAGGAGATATTTATATTTGTAATCCTTACAGAATAAATTAAGTTTCATTTTTAGATTTTTAGTTACAGGGTAAAGTTTTTCTTTTTATTATTTGCTTTTTAATTATTTTAAGTTTGTTTTTACTTTTTCTTTCCTTCTATTATCTTCCTCTTGGCTCTCCTTTTCTTTCAAGTAAACTTTTCACAACTATCTTAATCTAGAAATATAGAAATGGTCACTTGCATTGTATTTGCTAATTCTCCTCTATAATCGATTTTTTTTTTTTTTTTTTTAATTTAATTTTTTTATTGTTTTACAGGTGTTTGAAGAGGTGCAGCAAGTGTTTGAAAAAATGGATTCATGAAACATATTGTCCCTTAAAAATTGTTCAGTCACAAGAAGAAAGTAAAAAGGCAAATCGTACATTGGCTCTGCTCCTTAAAAAGAAACAAGAAATTGACCCTATGAACAAGATATTATGGAGGGAATTGAGATATGCAAATAATATTTTTCTTAAAATTGAGGGACTCAGTTCTTGGGTGAAGTTTTATGAGAGAATACATATATGTAATGGTCTTTTCTTTTTTCATCATGTTGGTTTGTAATCTTAAAAATATGATTTCAAACTATATTAATTTCTAGTCATTACATATATTCATTGGAATTATGTGCATGACTACTTATATATAAACTTAATAGAAAAAATATATTTATTAAGTTAAACATTTTTTAAATATTTAGAATTTTGGAAAAGAATATTTGAGGAGAAATATCACCTATAAACTCTGATTTAGAGGATATTTGTAGTATTTTTTTTTTTTTTTTGCGCTTTATTGAGGAAAAAAATTTTGGATTAAAAAAAAGAAAGAAAAAAAAAGGTTCCTTTGTATAATCACCCAATTTGTAAGCACTGCATACCTCCATTACAGCTACAAACTTTTAAAAACCTGCAGTTGGTTTTCTAAAAACCAAATCAAATAATTTATTGATATAAAAAACTGTCCAAAACCATATTTCCAGTTTCATTTCTAACAGTCATTTTTGCAATTTAAATTCTGGAAATAGAATTATTTCTTAACATGACTGTTTCAATGTATGTATTTATTAACAAAGTATCTGATAAGTTGGTTTATTATTTTAAATTTATTATAATAAATTACTGATAACTTAATGAAAATGTTAGCCTATTTAATAATGCTTCAGTCAGTCAGTTATGTGCCATGCATGATACATGCTTAGGCGATCATGTATCTTTTGATGCATGACTGACGAGGCAGATTTTTTCCTGCAGTAGGTTGCCATTTCTTTCTGTGATAGACCAGTTGCCATCCAAGGCTATAGAACCCGGTCTGTCCTGCTATTTACCCATAGCTGGGGGAAGAAGTGGATTCATACCTTTCCCAAGGGTATTAGCACATAAGTGAATGTAATCAACTCAACTTGAATTCGAACTCAGCTCTCTGATTCCTCTATCCATTACTCCACCGTGCCTCATAATAATAATAATAATAATAATGCTTATTATTATTGAAAATATATTTGGTTGAGAGTGTAGCATTCATTTTGCCAATTGACCTTAGATCAAGTATTTATGTATTTACCCAAATCTTAAAATATACACAACAATATTTCTGGCGATACATACTGACTATTGTCCTCATCTTTGTTATGATAGCAACAACAACAATGATGTGATAACAACAAAGACAAGGACAATAGTCTGTAGGTAAATGATAACTCCTCATCTCAGAAATTTAGTATTTGGTATACAAGACTAGCATCACATTATTCATTATTCTAGATGGTGTATTTTACTAATTTAAGCCATGTTCATTTTATTAATTATATTCTCTAAATATTCAGAGATAGATATATTGAAACTGTTGTATTATGAAATATTCCTATTTTTATGTTTACTTTATGATCTAAGAGTGACATCAACATTTTTAATTTCAGTAAAGTATTGGCCAACTTTCAACTCAGATTGAAAAGCTTAAGTCTTATATCTTGGTGTGTACCAAATACTTGAAAACAAGTTACTATGTAAAGAAAAACAAAGATATTCAATAGAAAAACAATCAGTATATTTTAAAAAATATTTGTACACTTGTTCAACTGAGAAAAATAAAGAAAAAAAAGGTTATTCAGTAAGACTACCATCAGTTTCAAGTAAGGCCTTGATGTAGGCTCAGATGTGACCGTCTCCATGGATCATATTGTTATAGACAAGCATATGGTTGCAAGAAAGAAATACAACAGCAGAAATAGATTTGTGATTTATTTCAATAGGAATGTGTGGTTTTGGGACAGCTACCATGTGGTATAGTTCATAAGCCAGCTTCCAATCTGGGTTGATCTCTCATAGTAGTTCTCACTGGTTGGCATGGTGCTCTTCCTGCTGACTGACCGTGACAGGTCTCTTCCCTGGCCTCCTGTTGACTGCTGTTGTACTTCCCTCTGTGACCCCTTTTATGGCGTTTTTTATGGCTTAACAGGCTCGAAAAAAAGACGAGTATAATTAGGAGGGAAGCATTTTATTGGTCAAAAAATAGAAACACTTTAAAAATTTTTTTTTTTTGACCGGCACTTCTTTGTCGGGCCTATCGCGTAAATGACGATAATGGTCATTTTGTGTGACGGGGCCTTGTCCCGTTCACATCCGGCTCTTGCTCTTGAGTATGTTAGTTTATTTGCCTGCAAATCAGCCAAGATATGTCTTATTTTATAACAATGCTCCCCCAGATCTCGGTCTGATTTACAGTGAGTGTTATTTGGGTGATTAATTCATGATAAAGTCTCTGAAGCATGTGTGAAGTTGTCCTTGTGTTCTTATTGGCATTTGTTTTGGTATGGAGTTATTTGCTGAATTATGTGGAGGAGAATGATCCTGGTGACTGTTACATGGTGGAGGCAGAGGGATTGTATTAGATAGATGTGTTGGACGTGGAGCCAGTCGTCGGATATGTGCACGGTGAATCTAGAGTGTATCACCATTATCGTTTTACACCTGACACATCATATTGTTCGTTTTTATAATGGTGTAATTTCCTATCCAGGGCAGATGAGAGGATTGGGCAACAGTTGAGTGTGGCTGGTGAAGTAAAACCTTGCCACCTACTTGTATTGGGTCCTTGTATATGAGGGGATTTAAGTTAGTCTCAAGTTTGTGGTCAGCCTCATCATTGGCCAGGGTGACGTGGTGATGAACCTGCTTTAGCAGGGCATTAATTTGCATTCCATATGCTCCAGGATTGTCACTTGCAATTTCTTTTCTGTGTAGTGTAGGTAGGCCAATGTTGGGGTGACGGCCAGTAATCGCATAGTGCAGGGAGACACCAGTGGCACTGTTGGTCATGGCATTCATGGACGAAACAACAGATTCTAGAACGTTTGTCCATTCACAGTTCCTGTCTTCGCATAACATATAATGTGTGTTCTTCATTGTGCGATGTTGTCTCTCGATATTTCCTGAGCTTTGCGGGTGCCAAGGACAGCATGATTGACATCTGGTTACAGAATTGTCGATAGACTTCTCCAGTGAAGTGTGTGCCTCGATCAGAGGATACTATGCATGGAATCTCTGTGTCGATGGAAGAACTGGTACAATTCTTGGTGGCGTCGATATACGGTCTCGTGACATGGTATGGCTGTAAAGTGTCGGCTGAAGCTATCCAAGATGGTTAGGATGCAGCATTTTCCCTTTGAGTTGGGTATTGTGACAAAGTCTATAAAGACGAGATGGTCTCTTTCCTCGCTTGCAGTGGCCAATGGGCCAGTGGGTACGTCTACTGTAGTTGCCCTTCCACTTAGCACATGTGTCGCAAGAATTGACATAGGCCTTGATGTCACAGTTTTTGAATTCCCACCAGTAGCTGGAAAGGAGTTCTTGCATACGGGTAACACCTGAGTGGTTGTTGCCCTCGTGTGCCTGGTAGAGGTATCTGGATCGTAGTTTGTATGGTACAACCAATCTCGGAGAGTGTTTACTGTTGTGACACCATTTACCAGGACGAAAAGAAGAGAAAGGAAAAGAGAGGCGAGACTTAAGCTTAGATGATAAAAGAAGCCACCCACGACTGGGGACATTGACAATGTTATTTTGATAAGTCACAAATGGTGAAAGGTCTCATTACCATCGCAGAAAAATTCTAAATGGATAAGAAAATCGACTATGTTCTGGTGGCGAACTTGTGTTATCGGGGATAGATAACAGCCGCTTAATGCTGGCGAACATCTAATTAGCAAACCACAGACCGGCTGTCTAGAAACTCCAATTGACAATGTTATTTTGATAATTGACAAAAACAGGTGAAATACAGGGCTTTGGATAGATAAGAAAAATTAACTGTGTCAGAAGGGGCAAACAATATTGTCGGGAAAGGATTTAATAGGTCGTCTGTTAACCACACACGAAGCCAACCCTGAGTCACGACTTGGCCGTTTTTGACAAGACATCTATAGGAGTTAGAATTCGGTTGTGATAACAAAACTATGTTATCAGAAATTGGCATCAAAAATGACTAGAACAATGGAACTGTTTTTTCGAGACGACGGTCGACTGTGTTTTGCTGGACGACCACCCATTCTGATAATTGGCGAAAATCTGACTGACGAAGTCCAGATGAGAATAGAGGTTATCACACTACTGGTCGCATTGTTCTGTTGGCGGCCAGAGAAGATGAGAGCTGTGATTAAGGAAAGAAAAGAAAAAGATGATTTTTTTTTTGAGCAAGATATATATTTTTTTTCTTCCTAAAACAAAGCCAGATAGATCACACACCCGGCTGGACGCGATTGGCCGAATGATAACGAGGGCCGGGCGGAGGTGATCACGTGACGCAGGGAGGGAAGCCGCCGCCGCCCATTTAGAGGATAGGTATGAGAAGTTGCTACGAGGAAGTGGGGAGAACCGTTGACGCCCCTCTGAGGTGTGGTGAGATATCCATTTGAGAATAAGAGAAGGTGGGAGTAATAGAAGACTTCCAAAAATGGAAAGGAGTGAAAAATTCCTGACCAAAAATAAAAGAAGTGGATATGGATTTAGAATTATCGAGGAACCTCCAACGCCGACAAACCCACCCCAGTTTTGGTCGGCGTCCATATAAGCAAAGTCGCAGCGAGCAAAGATCAGTTCCAAGTTCAGCAGAGAAGAGTTGAGAGTTTCCCGGGGAGTTCAGCAGAGAAGAATGTTCAGTTGAAGCAGGCCTCGCAGCTGACTAAGATTCGCGCAACTTCCGAACTCATCTTCAATCCAAGAACAAATTATTTTGAAGAGCGACTTAGATCCATACCACCAAAATAAGTTTTTCGACTTTCGCCTGAAGACACACCAAGAACCAATTTCTTAAAGAACAGACAACTTAA